GAGTTAGTTTGATTCCTGGTACCAAAAATAATTAAAAAGAACCAGCTCCTTGATTCACTATATTGTTTGTTTAGTTTCCATTTCATTAATTTCTGCTCTGATCTTTATAATTTTCTTTCTCGTACTAGCTTTGGATTTGGATGTTAAGTGAAATAAATCAGACAAACAAGGTTAAATATCACATAGTTTCTCTTAATGAGAAACCCAAAATATAAATAAAGGGCAAAATAAAAACTAGATAATAGGAAACACGGAGATAGATATTTTGCAAAAGGGAAAGGGAACCAGAGATGGGGGGGAAGGAAGGGAGGAGAATGAAAAGGAGGAGAAGAGGATGAAAAAAAGAATTAAGATGTGTTAATGTACATGTACCAAGTCTGCATAAGAAATGTAATCATTATGTACTGCAAATATGTACTGACAAAAATAAAAATTAAAAACAAAACCAAAACAATTTATGTTAATTTAAATAAATAAATTAAAATTACATATTAAGAATATTGCTCTTCAGTTACACTATCTTCCATGTGCTCAATTACCACATGTGGTTCATGGCTTCCTTACAGGACAGAGGGATATGGAACATTTCCATCATTGCAGGGAGTTGAACTGGACAGCTCTGAGGTAGATGGAGCCTCTGGCTCACCCAGGTACTCTTCAACAATTTCTTCTCATGCAAATCGGGTTAGCTCCAGTTTGTTATCCCCACCTTCATTTTCTAGATCTTCCATCTACCACAAAGGCACCAAGGGAACTCATACAGCCAACGTGAATTCTCTCATGTATGGTTTTTTTTCTCATTCCTATACATAAAACTCAGATTTCTATAGAAATACAGATATTTTCTAGGAAGTGAATACAGAAAAATATACACATCAATAATTCCAGTTTTTGTGCACTATTCATGTTTATGACCCGTCACTAAACATATGTTGTGGTAACAACGTGATCTGAATAGTCTGTCAGGTGCTTCTCACTGTGGCATAGGTGTGGGGAGGAAAAGACCACTCACTGAACTTGTACGAAAAGCAGGTGTTGTCCCTAAACAAATGTGCACTACTTGAAGACTGTGTGAATGATTCTACAAGTTACTGTGAGTTGTTGGCACATTTATGTGTTGGTCATTTACTTCTGTCCTGTCAAGTACATTCTATTATCCTTTTCCTGGAAACTTTGCCAACTAGCTTCTACCAAAGTTTGCGTGATGGAAGCCACCAATAAGCAATCAGAGAGCAACAGAAAGAAAAATGCCAGGTATCCCCATCTACCTTCAGGGCAGCATTTCCAGCCCTATCTGTATCTCCTGCAGCTTTCCAACTCCCATTAGATATGCCCTTCTCCTATGGATACAGCTTTTGTTAGATGACCCAGTTTGGTTTTGATACTACAATCTGCTCCATCTGAAACGTGCCCAGTGGTATGTTGGCCCATTTTTAATGACTGGTTTCTGGGGAAAGAGAAGACCAAATTTTAAGTGTTTGCCAATGCCTGTGGTGTATACCTATCCTAGCATACAAACTTTCTGAATATTTACTGTACTCCAGCACAGTACTTTTCCAGCCCTAAGGAAAGTAGTAGCTTCCTATTGTTAATCTCTGAGTTCCTTCACAGTCCTCATTCTAACTCCTTTACAGCTAGTTACATGAATTAAATTTCTTCCATTAGCTTTCTGGCATGGACTCTATTTTCCAAACTAAGTGAATATTCACTGTTAAGATAGTAAAATTTGTTGTTACTTCTCTGAAGTACCAGAAAATCAATCAATCGAACAACTAAGTATGCTGGAAAGTAAGCTGATATTATCAGTTATAAAGACTTTCTAAAAAATGAAGCAGTGAATCAGTTCACATTGTGGGACAAGCTTCTTATCTCACTATAAAGTTCGTTGACAAGTAGCCATGTACAGACCATACTTTGAACAGCAACGTGTCAGTGCCACTTCGGAAATACAATCTGGCAATGTATATCAAAAACCTTAAACCTTTCCTGCCCTTTGTCCTACTAGTTCTACTTTGGCAGAATATCTTCTAGAAATTTACCCAAAAAGAAGGAAAAAGTCTTCTGCAAAAAGACGTTCATTATAGTATTGTTTAAAATGGGGTTTTTTGGGGCTGGGGATTTAGCTCAGTGGTTCCACCTCCTGTCTCGCAAGCACAAGGTCTGATTCCAATCCCCGGTACCAAAATAATTAAAAAATAAAACAGGATTTTGGGAAGCAATTTCAAAATAAAAAAAAGAAAAATGATGATGTAAATCCACTTGATGGTATATTATGCAGCTGTAAAAATTACAATTATTACTATTGCGGCAACATGGAAAATAGCATATAGCACAAAGTAAAACAATCAAGAAAGAAAATTTTACATGCATAATAAAGATCATGTCAGCATATGTGTGCTGGAAGGAAAAGACTGAAAAGAAATATATGCAAATAATAGTTGAATTATGTAAAGGGACTGTTATGAGACAAATTACTTTCAGTAACTTTCAAAAAATGACTCTGTTTCTACTGTAAGTATTCCATTTTGTTTTGGTAAATAAAAATAAAAGAGAGGGCGGGGGATGTGGCTCTGTGGTAGGTGCTTGCCTAGGATGCAGGAGGCCTTGGGTTCAATCCCCAGCACTTTAGTAGACGGATAGATAGATCTATCAACAAAGTCAATGAGAATACTTAGAAGAAATAAAATATCACACACTAAGACACCAGTGCACTATTGTTTTATGTTTACAAGACTTGGATAGGCCTGAATTGAAATTATGATCCCCAATCCACCTATGTGCAATTCATTCCTCATGCATGTGACCTCCTCTCCAGAATTTCATCTGCTTTCCCAACATTGTCCAACCTCCCTTTCAGAGAAGTGGCTGGTATCACTTACACATATAAGGAAACGTGATTCTTCTTTCTATCATAGAGGGGAGACTATCCTAGAGGAATACCTTCCAGCTGTCTAGAAACAGGAGGAGGAGGTACTGAAGGCTTGAATAGGTGGACCCATGGCATCTGTCTATTCACGCTCTGCTCAGCATGGCTTCAAAACCCTTATTCAAATTACACTGGGCTCTTGGTTCCCTCAGGAAGGGTAACAGTGGGTTCCTCTGCATGTCCCTCTCCCCTCAGCCACCTCAGACCAGATATTTAAAAGCATTGTTTACTTAGCCCAGGTACCTAGAAACAATATCCAATTTGTTTTCTTTGTAAATAATACAACCTCGCTGTAGAGTTCAACCTGCAATATTGCCACACAAACCACCAAAGACTGAAATCTATGTTCACCATAAATATAAAATAACAGTGAAAATCTCAGGTTCTGGAACTCAACTCTGAGCTTAAATATTAGATTTTCCACTTACAAGCAGAACAGTCCTAAGCAAATCCTTAATCTTTCTAACTCTCAGGTTCCTCATCTATAACCTGGGGATAATATACAATTGTTGTGGGAGCTAAATGAATTATTTCTCATAAAGCACTTAGAATATATGCCCTAACCAATAAAGTAACCAATAAAGTTTAGCTAGTATTGTTTTAAATTCTCACTCCAAAAAGAAAAAATGCTGCATGTTGTGTCCCCTGCAAGGCCATCATTCCTGCCCTTTCCCAGGCATCACCATGCCTACTTGAGCTCCAGTCAGAGAAACACCTAGCCAACTGCAGCATGGTTAATACAAAGAATACCACTGCTTTTCCCTACAGCTTTTCTCCACTAGGCCCCTGATGGATTGGAATTTAACTGGCAAAAAAATGAGTAAATCTTTCCAAAATTAACTTGAAATAAAACACCAAGTCATCTCTTGACAATTTGAGAACCTAGTGTACTCTGGAGAATGATTCATAGCAATACTATTCCATTCAAGCCACTACCCAGTGAGCTGCCTTACGCAAGCACAGGAAAAAGTGTGTGTTAGGACACATTCTCAATGCATATTTGACACACGAGTTTTGAGAGGTGTCTGAATGGATCAGACAACTTCCAAAGCTTTTAAAACTGCTTGCTGACACTATGATCTTGTAGGTCCTCAACTCCTTCCTCTCTCTTCCACCATCCTAAACTCCTTACTACAAAATCTTACAATTACTATAGGCAAGAGTCCTCTTTCTCCAGTCTCCAGCCAACTCAGTCCTGTCAATTTTTGGGGTTTGCAATCATTGCTCCAGACTTGAGGACTGGCTTCCATCACCATTGTTGGGTTCCCATGGTTCTCTTGGATTCCTGGTTATCAGATCTGCAAGGTTCCTTAGAACTTATGTCATTTTAGAGACCAGTGTCAGCTTCCTTCTTATCATCTTGTTTTGGTCCTGAGCAGAGGACTAATCCCCAGTGTTGCTCATTACTCCTCATTCCATCTAACCATCTTGGATAATAAGTACCCCAACCCAGCTGCCAGGAGTAGAGCCTGCCTCCCAGCTAGAGAGCTGGCCAGGTATTCTATAGGACTGTTGTTCATACCAGTCTTCCTGGATCCCTCTCTCAGCCCAGAAACATCTTCCACTATGCTAATTCCATTTGAACAGTCACTTCTCTCCTCAACACCAAAACTTGCCCCTGCAGAGCTACCATTTCCAGAATTCTAATGCAATCTAATCTGAATTCTGCTTTGGCCACAAAAGTCTGTCTCTGGAATCGACTTTTGGAATATCAGCTTTCTCACTCAAACCCACCCTGGTGTCTTGATGCCTGCCTGTCCCTGACATGATCACTGCCAATTTCCCTTTGCCAACAACTGGGTATGGGATAAAGACTAAATTGTGATTATTTCTTGGTAATTAACAAAAATACCCTACAAATTTTAGGCTCATGAATTAAAGGTAAATGTCAAAATACTCACAGTACCAAAACAGCCACAATAAAACATCATGACATAAACAGAAACAAAATCATATGCATTTTTAGAATTTTCCATTTTAACAAAATAAACCACCTTAAGACAGGAAATGTTAAAAAAAAAATTGGAACCAACCATCCAGCCATGTTTCTGTGTGTTTGGTTGGACATGCCTACCTCAAACCACTGCCCATGAGACTGCATCTTGAGGATGACGCAGGGGTCTGGTTTGGAAAGAGCATCTCTGTCAGAAATGCCTTTGCATGCCACACGCAGCTCAACTTTGGTCAGGCAGGGGCTGTTAAAGATTCCCAGCGTATTGGCAGCTGACTCATAAATGTTGCTCATCTTCTTCATTCTGTTTTAGTCAAGAAAAAAAAAGTGTCAATCACTGCAATATTTGTCAAAGGAGAAAGAATGTCTCCCAACTGCTGCTTAGAAAATTATTCAACATACAGTTTCAAATATTAAAGACATTTATTATCTCATTTCCCACTTGGCATGGTTTCAGTGAAACAAACAACAAACAAACAAATCAAAAGATGAAAACAAAAACCTCAGATGGTGGTACACTTGGCTAAGAACACTCTTTTCCTGTGTGATTTGCATAGTAAATTTTTAGTCTGTAAAATAAATTAATGAATTAGTGCAATAGACTGCAAGCTGTAATGTAGCTCTGTATTAATTAAGTACATGGCTTGTGTGAAATTTTACAGATTTGTTAATCAATTTAATCACATCTCAAGTTTTTATGACTCCTTAAAACTCCAACTCTTCTATGTGATAGAGTGGAGAATTAAATCACCCTACCCAAAAAAACATTTTTAATTTCCCACCCCTAAACCCTGGTCTACCTTCTCAAGATGCCCTCAGCAAGTCAGCGACAAGAGAGGCACGATGCCCAATTTCTTGTCCTAGTGCCCACATCTCTTCTCACCTTTCCCTTCTAGGCTCCCACCTGCCCCATTAGAACTCAGAATTAAAAGGGCAAAAGAAGAAAAGCGTGAAGCCTCTGATTCTGAATTCACAGAAACAGTAGCCACAGCCTTCATAACACTTTGCTTCCTGGAGGCCCAGGGTCACTGGGATCTAGCAGAGCCCACCAATACTCTCCTCCCTCTCTGAAGAGCACTAAATATGTAAGGACACTGGAAGATTCTCTCAGGTGTGAAATTCAGGATCCTTCTTACAGAATTCTGTATTGGGAAAAACAGCAATGGCTTCCTCAACCTCACCTGGCATTAGTGCCTTACAGTGAAAATTTTTCATTTATGAAATAGGGACAATCCCGCCCTCTCTCCTTCCCTTCTTCTGCAAATATTTGGCTTTCCTTAGGTGCTTGGCACTATACTTGTTCAAATGAGTACATTCTCCCATCTCTTTTATAGGGTAATGGGTGTGCCTCAGCATTACACATACACTCACATCCACATGCACACACACACACAACCAGTAAAGCTTTATCGGAACACAGGCATGAGCATTCATTTGTGTACTGTCTATGTTTGCTTTCAATAGGATTGAGTAGGTACAACAGAGATTACATGGCCCACAAAGCCCAAAATACTTACTCTATAGCCAGAAAATATTCACCAGCTCCACTTCTAAAATAATAGGTAAGCTGAATTTGTGCCTGAGAGGAGCTGCAATTCCATTTTAGTAAGCTTGTGGAATTATGCTTGAGGATGAGAGCTGCTCTGTTCTACCAAATTGAACATTAAGAGGGACTTTGGGATATTTGTCTTACACATATTATATATTCAAGCCTGGGGAGGACTGGCAGCTCGACTGTATCACATAATTATTCTAATGACAGAGCTGGGAGTAGAATGCCAGTTTTCTGCCTCCCAGCTCTATACCGTTTTCGCCACGTGTAAAATCCTCAGCTGGAGAGAGAAATGTTCAAATCTCTGAAAGAACACTGGATACACCAAATAGTCTTCATTTATTTCAATCTCCACACTGTCATACTTCCCTTTTAGTTCAAAATAAATGTTATTCAAATATAGAAAATGCACAAATCATAAATCCACAGCTTGACAAATTATCCTTCTAGTTTTACAAGTTTTGAGAAACACAGGAGACAAAGTATACGTGAAATGAAATTTATAACAAAGCAAAGAGAAAGAAAGAACCAGCTAGGAGGAGGATGGTTTCATGTTTAAACAGGTTTGGAAATATGTTGTGAACTCTCTTTTATCAACTTCTTAATAAGGACAGCTTACTCTTTAGTCAATGTCTTTCTGAACTCTGCTTTCCTAATATGCTGTCTGGCTCTTCAGAATCCACATTGCTTTTCCACCATTCTGACTGATCCCTCCTGTCTGTAGGATTCAACCCTACCCTCCTAACGGTCCTTCTCCTTGTTGGCTCTTGCCCATCCCCTTCTGGATACACTGATGCCATTCTAGAGAACACATGCTCTTCCTGCAGAATAGGACATCTTCTCTACCACCAGGCTTAGTTGTAAGGCATAATGTAAAAATGAATCTATCAAAGAGACACACAGTTCCAGGTTCGAAATCTGGCTCCTTTACTCACTATGTGACACAAAATGGGTACTTACTTAAGTTGTCTAATAGAAATAACTGCCATGAAGAGTTGCTATAGAATATGTAACATAATATATGTAAAGTGATCAGCATAATACTTGCTATATAGTAGGTGCTTCAAAAGTGATAACTATTATTACAATATTACCTGATTTCCCTCAAGATTAAATAATTTATCTCCCACAGTCAAACAGAAATCTCTTAAATGTCTCATTATTACTTTAAGACCAAAGTTTGACTTGAGCCTTTAAATGTCACCTACCTTTGAGGCCCACATAATCTGGGCATACCACTCTCTCCTTAAGAGCACACAGCTACTGTTCAAATCAGCAGTTTATTTAAGGACTCATGCACATGGGCCCATACTTCTCATGGCTTCACAAGATGGTAAGATAATGGTGTCTGGTCCACTACAGGTGTGAAGCAGCTTTATCAACTTAGCACTACAAGTAAATTATTCTTCAACCAGTGTTCTCTCCAAAGCATCAGCTGGCTCTCTGGGAAGCATGTATTCCATAGAAGTCCTCTCTTGGTGCATATGACAGATGATCACATGACATGTGTGACTTATCAGGTATTTGCTGGGGACTGTGGGAGTCCCACGATACAGAGGGGTCACCACTCTCATCTTCTCTCAGTTATTCATTTCCAGGTTATTACATTTGTGCTTTCCATGTACCTGATTATGTCGGTTTCGGGTGATAGCATGTAGTTTTCTCTACACCCTCTCTATAAATGGATTACCCTAAAGAAATTTCTGATCGAATAGAATAAAGTAATGCAGACAAGAAAACACCGTAAGGTGGCACATCTACTTCTGGTATGCAGATTCCATCAGCCATCACACTTGCTTTAAAATGATGGCAATCTAATCACATGTTCCAAAAGTTTCCCAGAACAACTGAAAAGTATTGAGGCATCTTGAAACATAGAGTAATGCACACAATCATTAGTGGTATAGCTCATATTATGTAGTACTCAAAATTATAAGTTAATAATAGTAAATTTAAGTAAAGCTGCACAGGTTTGGAGGTTTTTTCTTTTAATTAATGAAGTATATGATCCAGAAATTCTACAAATCATTTCTCTAAGCAATAGGAAACAGTTGAATTATTGAGAGCTAGAAAATGGACATCATCTAATAAGCACTTACTAAAGATCAATCTGGTACCAATATGATGGTTGAATTGTAGGAGAGAAAAAAAGAGTCTGACTGTATGAGACTATTATGCTGATTGCTACCTATTCCTCTCTTCCCATCAACTCTCTTTCCTTCTTTCTGCTCAGGGCCATAAAACACTGACCTCTGCTGAATACCAGCTTGTCACTGGCAAGTTTCCTGTTAAGTTACACTCAAGGGATGCAGACTTGGGAAAGGGAGGAAAGAGTAGCATGTTTCTTCCCTTCTTGCCCTGATTCTTAGAAGTGACCACAGTTCCTGTCAGGCAACTCTGCCTCCAAGGCAGCAGCTCTTATTAGGCTTTAGTAATACTCTTCCCTCACCTTATTCCTTTGGGTTCATGAGCAGTAATGGTTTCTTGCCAGTCATAAGGTAGCTATCCTACACTCAAAGTCTGAAGCAGGGATCCAGATGCATTTCATTAACTAAAAAGAGAGAGAAGAGCAGTAAGGAAAGCCAGGTGGTGGTTCCAGCTGGAGTCTGGCTTCAACCTGGTTCCACAGAGGCTCTGAAAGATAATTTTTACCCAGCATGTTTATTGTACCCTAAAGAAAGGAGTTCGGCCTCTTCTAGCTCCATTTGTGTCAGTTGTGCTAGGGTTGACAAAGCATAAATTCAGATTTGGCAATCAAACATACTCCAGAGGAAGGGCAGCTCTGAGCCATTAGAAGCCAATAGTCACTGCCATTTGGGGATGGATGCACTAATTGGATAAAGAGTATATGAGCAGAATATCAATAGGGTCTATTTCACTAGGAGCCAGACTATTGGTTCCATTAATTCTACAACATCACTGTAAATGATCTCTTCCCTGAAAGCTCTTAAATCAAAAAGATCATTCTATGTCTTTCCTGAAGAGAACTAACTATACTGGAGCAGTATAGCTGGAACAAAAGTCAGGTGTGATGAGGTAGGCAGATGCCTTGAATAACCTCCTCTTCTTGAGAATGGGTGGGACTTGTGACTTACTTTTAACCAAATAATAAAATATGGTAAAAATAATGGAATGTCTCTTTTGCAATTATAATTTACTAGAGAGTCACACCACCCTCTCACTTGTTTGCTTTGATGAAGTGGCCATGTTGGGAAGGCAAGGAACAGAGGGCAGCCTGTAGCCAGTAGCAAAAGAGCAACTGAGGCCTTCAGTTCAACAGGCTGAACAGAAATGAATTCTGCCAACAACCAAATAAGCGTGGGAGTAGATAATTTCCCAGGTGGACATTAGATGAGACAGCAACCTCGGCTGATACCCAGACTGCAGCCTTTTAAGATCCTGAAACAATAACTAACTTGCAGTCATACTCCTGACCCACGGAAACTAGGGGCAATAGCTACATGCTCTTTCAAGCTGCTAAATTTATGGCAATTTTGCTATGCAGCAACAGACAGCTAACATAAACTGATTCAGGAGGTACTACAGCAGGTGTGTGTGCGTGTGTGTGTGTGTGTGTGTGTACACATATACATATATGCTCTTTTAGGTCAGGGATTATTCCTTATTATCTTATTGCATCCCTCATAATGTTCATATTGAAAATATTTGTAGACTACTGAGGCTACTGAAGATAAAATACCCAACTTTTCAGGTTAGTATGCAGGATCTCAGGCTTATCTCCCTGATCGTGT